TTACTGCAATTAGATTAATCTTGAAAAACTCCCTATAAAATAAAATATTCCTATCCTGAAACACTACATATTTGTACATAACAAAGTCTCTGTGACATATTACCCACATTAGTTCTACATATTACTTAAAAAGTAGATGCATAGAGAAATTATATCTATGGTCCAATGGTGAGTAGAGCATTTTTGACAATATATTTTCTATGCAGGTGTAGCTTATGTAAGAGTAGATTTATTTTCTAAGTGGATCGCTGCTATGGTTTGACTGTATGCCCTAAAATTCATATGTTGGAAACTTAGTCCCCAATGCAACAGTGTTGAGAGGGAGGACCTTTAAAAACTGAATGTATTTAACAGCATTCTGTCAGGAATGAGTTCTTTATTTCAGGAAAAGCGTATTGATAAAGGATGAATTTAGCCCCTTCCTTCCCCTTCCCTCCCAAATCCCTTTTTTCCTTTCATTTCTGCCATGCAATAACACAACACAAAGACCCTTGATAGATGTGGGTTCCTTTATCTTGGACTTTCCAGCCTCCAAAACTGTAGTAAATAAATCTCTGTTCATAATAAATTACCTCATCACAGATATTCTGTTAAAGCAGCACAAAACAGACTAATACAACCATCTAATCTAAATTCTTTTTTTAATCTTATTTTTCATATTATTGTCTAATAATAATCTATGAGAATGTGCATATGCTATTTGTGTTCCTCCAAAATACATGATGAAACATAATCTCCAATGCAACATTATTAAGAAGTAAGACATTTTTGGGGAAGTGATTAGGTCATGACTGTTCTGCTCTCATGAGTAAAACTAGTACCCCTATAAAAAGGACTTGAAGGAATAATATTGCCCCTTTTTGCCCTTTTCATCATGTGAGAAAAAAGAAGGAGCCATTTATGAGGAATAGGCCTTCATCAGATACCAAATGTACCAACACCTTGATAATAGACTTCCTAGCCTTCAGAAACATGAGAAATAAATTTCTGTTATTTAAAAATTACCCAATCTCAGGATTTTTTTAAATTAAAAAAATTTATTAATTTGTCTCTTCAGAGAGGGAGAGAGAGAATGCAAGAGAGAAAGGGAAAAAAACCCCAGCGGGGTCCCTATAGTGCAAGATCCCCAGCTTCAGAATGCCCAATGTGTACAGGAAAGCTTCAGGATATGAACCTGGAACCCATCATGTTGGTCCAGTTTTTCCACTACTGCATCATTACGTGGTCCTTACAGTACATATTTTTAAAAATAGCAACACAAACTAAGATATGCATGATTTATTATATTTTAAATTTATTCTTCTTTTAAACCTTATTTATTTGATAGAACTTAAAGCACTGGTGACAACATTCATCAAATGAATGTCCTACTGTTATATCTATGGATATTGCCAAAGCACAAATAGATATTCCTTATCATGCTATTGAAATATTATACTGCTTATATTTAAGTAATTTTTGTTTGTAAATCAAGATGCAAGCTGGATATTATACAATGCATTTCTAGAATATATCAAGATACTTTATATCCTTCACTTAGTAATTTATACTAATAGATCTTTTCTTTCTTTTATTTTAGATTCATTCACTGTATATCATTACAACATATAAAATGAATTTTCCCATCCACAATATACTGAATATTGGCAAAAATCAAAGATATTACCATATCTATTATTTTAAACAGATGATTTTCCATTTTGTGTTTCGTAATTGTTTTCTTTCTTTCTCATCCTCTGCCACTTCCCACCCTCTCCCCACACTATCTCTGTTATCCACAGTTGCTTTCAATACCATTATTGTCCAATATTGTCCAATATTTCAGTTTCTGCCATAAAGTACAGAATTTGGTATATATTAAGTGGGGACATATCTTTCACAGTCTGGCTTGCTTAACTTAAGAGTAAATCTTCCATATTTGTCTACTTTCTATCAAATGGTTGGATCTCATTGTTTTTCTGGCTGAGTAGTATTCCATAGTGTATACATCCACACTTTTTAAATCCATTCATCTCTTTGTAGACATTTGGGTTGGTTCCATGTTTTAGCAATTGTGAATAATGCCACAATAAACATAGGTGTGTTTTTCTGACTGAGTGCATTCCCATCCTTTGGATAGACACCCTGGAATGGAATTGCTAGATCATATGGTAGTTCTATTTATAGGTCTTTACGAAGCCTCCATATTGTTCTCCACAGTGGCTGTACTAATTTACATTCCCCTCAACAGTGTAGGAGAGTTCCCTTTTCTCCACAGCTTCACCAGAACTTACCATTCTTAGCCATTCTGACTGGGGTTTGGTGATAATTCATTGTGATATTGATTTGTCATATCATAAGGGATTTTGAACATTTTTCATATTTTTTTTGGCTGTTCATATGTCACCCTTAGAGAGTTACCTGTTTAACTCATTTGCCCATCTTTTAATTGGTTTGGTCATTTTTCAGGTAACCTGCTTGAGTTCCCTGTAAATTCTGCTATCAGTCCCTTAGCTGAGGTAAAGTATACAAATATATTCTCCCCTTCTGATGATTGTTAATTCACTCTAATTATTGTTTCTTTTGCTGCATAGAAGCTTTTAACTTAATATAATCCTACAATCTATCCCTGAAATAGATTTTTTTAAAAAAAGTATTGAACCATCCTTGCATTTCTGAAATAAATCCTAAATAATGATGCTAAACTGTTTTCTTAAAATGCTTAAAATTGACTTTCTAAATAAAAGTTTTATATTTTATTTTTTTAATCTGCAATTGTAAGATGAATTTCTACTTTTCTATTTTCGGTGCTAGTTGCATCGAGTTTTGTTTGTTTGTTTGTTTTTGTTTTTGTTTTTTAGAGATTTTTGCTCTAGGGAGTGTGTGCTCGCCAGAGAGAGAGAGAGAGACAGAAAGTGAGAAATCACCCCCCAGGGGGGATGACCATGCCGCAATCCCTTCTCCTCCATTCTCCTCTTGGGATATTGGGCACACACGCACACGCGCCCAGTGTGAGTTTTAAGCCACTGGGTCCAGGACATGAACCACGGTCGACTACATGGGAGTCCAGCGACATAGCCATTGCGCTAACTGCTGGTCCCATCATCTAGTTTTGGTCTCAGGATGAGGCTAAATAAAATGACATAATTTTCTGGAAGTGAATGCTCCCACTAAGAGTAACTAGGAGAAGAAGTAAAAAATGTAGCAAAAATATATATTTAAATACACCAGAGCACTAAGAAACAATGAGGATGAAAGGAAAAAAATTACAGAAGGCATAACCTTCTCAATGAGCACTGAGGATCTGAAGCTATCTCCTGGGGCATTTGCCAAACAAACCAAGGCATGGAAATAGATTGATAATATAAGTTAGGTTCAGGCAGACAGTAGTTAGTAGCACTGAAAGAAACCACAAAATTTTTGCTGCTTCCAAAGGACTAGAATGCCAAAATTAAAGACTGAAGAGCCAATTTTCCCCCTAAGACCTTTGCTGAATTCTAAAGTTACACAGCAGAGGAAAATAATGATTTAAGCCAAAACCTTTGAAAAGCAAGATTTCCCACAGTTTCACAATGTTTCAGAGAAAGACTCATTTAGTGGAAGGATGCATAAGATCTCAGGTGGGAGCTGACCTAGTCTATTTGAACTACAATAACAAAACACTTTAGACCAGGTAGCTTACAAACAAAAGAAATATGTTTTACAGGTCTCAAGGGTGCCAGCAGATTCAAGTGGTGACCCACTTCTTGATTCATAAAAGTAGTCTTTTGCTTCGTCCTTCCATGGTGGGAAGACAAAGTTACTCTCTGGAGACTCTTTTATGAGAATGCTAATCCCATTCATGAGGACTTCCTCCTCATGATCTATAAATTTACAAGTCCTTAGCCTCTAATGTCATCCCAGTAGTAAATAGAGTCAACATATGAAATTTGAGGGTACAATCATTCAGACCATAAGAGGAGCCCAAAGTTCTTGAGAGAGTGTGAATTCTCACTGACCATCTCCAATCACCTTTTTACCTGTTAATAATTGCTGATCTAGGTACTACTAATACTTCCTCCCAAAACATTTGACAAATTCTAAAACTTAGAGGGCATCTGTTCTTTCTTGTTTCCTTCCTCCTTTCATTCCTTGTCTCCTTCTCTCCCTCCCTCTCTTCCATCCTTCCTTTCTTTTCTTCCTCTTTTTATTAAATTCATGATAGAGTGTGTACACATGCATGAATGAGAGAGAAAGGAGAGAAGCATGCTGTATGAGGATGCAAGCATGCAATCCCCTTCCTTTAGTCCTCCAGCCCATCAGATCTCAGCCTCTTGCACAAATGCCCAATGTGTTTCAGGTGAGTGAGGCCAGGGATCCCACTTCTCATGAAGGGCACAGATAATGCTATGCCACAGAGCTGACTCAGGTTGAACCTTTTCTGGTGGAAGATAGTATCACCTAAAATCTTGATATATTTTAAACAAATGTCTAACATCAACCAAAAAATACTAGAAGGAGACATAACTACATGACTGAAAACCAAGAAAAGAATCAACAATAACCCACCAACATGTTGCTAAACTATATATGAGACTTCAATAAATAACTATGCCTAACACCGTTTAAAAAAAAAAGAGAGAGAAAAGGTAAATAAATTAGATTAAAAAGATATAGAATTTGGTCTACAAAAGTATTATAGGATATTCTAGAACTAAAACATATGTATCTGAAATTCAGACTTCTGTTTCTTTTTTATTTCTGATAAGACTTTCATTGTGTCTTTGTACTAATTACCTTGAAGACAGTAGGAATATATGTAGACATAAAATGGAGACTATTTCAGAACAAGCAAAATTTAAAAATCTACTAAAATTTATGGAAAAAGCTTTTAAATATCATTAAGTATTAATAAATATAATGTGAGCTTTTATATGCTTAAAAGCTTCCTGGCTACTTAAAACAGAAACTAAACATCATTAGCAAACTACAAATAGATTTTAAGAGAACATTTTCTATATAATAGACAAAGAACAACTTACAGGAAGGTGTGTAAATACAGCAAAGGTGCTACGCAGAAAGGCAATGAGGTCCACTAGGTAATCACTAGCTTTGTTGCCCAAATCTCCTGTCATCCAGTCATAGTCTGCAAGCTGTAGAAACTGGTCAATCTTCTGGTTTAAGTTGGTATAAATCTCTTCTTCAGCTGCATGCCTAGCATCCTGTGAAATAATATGAAATGTGATCAGATTTCCAGGATAAACAGGCAGAAATTTATGAATTTGGAACCATCTCATGCTTATCTCCATTAGGTAAAATCACTGGGAATATTGAGTTATAAGTATCACAGTCTCAATTAATTTTTCTTGTTTAAAAAGCACAATGTGAGGACCTACAGATGGTGTAATGGTTACGTTGTTGTTCTCTCATGTAATGAGCTATGGTTCTAGTCCCAGATCTGGTGGATTAAAACTCAGGCTGGGTATATATACATGCATGCCCAAGATCCTAAAAGGAGAATGGAGGAGAAGAGATTGTGGCATGGCTATCTCCCTTGAGGGGATATTTTCTCACTTTCTCTTTGCTTCTCTCTGTCTCTCCAGCAAGCGCACACCTCCTATAGCAAAAATATCTCTTAAAAAAAAAAAAAAAAAAGAAAGTACAATGTGGTCTTTTCAATTTTTTTTTTCTGCCATTAAAAAAAAAAAAAAAAGTGTTGGGACCAGCAGTTGGTATAATGGCTATGTCACTGGACTCCCATGTATTCAACTGCGGTTTGAGTACCGGACCCATTGAGGCTTAAACTCACACCAGGCGTGTGTGCATGAGTGCTCAAGATCCCGAGAGGAGAATGGAGGAGAGGGGATTGCGGCATGGCCATCCCTCCTGGGGGTGATTTCTCTCTTTCTATCTCTCTGTCTCTGTCTGTTTGGCGAGCCCAAGCACCCTATAGCAAAAACCTCTCAAAAAACAAACAATATTAAAAAACAAAAAAGCTGTTTTGCTTCACTATATGGAGAAGTTGCCTTCTCTGCCCTTAGTTATCTGCATCTTTTTTTTACTTTATTATATCTGTTAAAAACTAAATTTGTTCTTAGGATTCTATTCCCTTGCATCTCTTCTGGGACTCCATGATGCTTCTTTCCTATACTACCAACTTCTTTATATCCTCTCATTTCTTTGCAGTACTTATAAATATCCTGAAGTTTCACCTGAATATTGTCCAGTAATTACTACCATAGTCTCTCTTTTCTTTATCATTAAAATTTTTGAATATTCGGTATAATGCTTTCTAAAATGAATTCTAAATAATACTAATCCTAAAAGATGCTAAAATAATGGCAGAGTTTCTAAATCACCTAAGTTTGAGATATGCTATATAAGAAATTTATGATGTACATTAGCATATTAAAGGCTCTAAGAAGTGAGATGACCGTAATGTTCCAGGAAAAATATTGTAGGACAAATGTGAATATGTGTTACACCTCAGCAATCAGGATTCCAATGGTAAATAAGGACTGATTCAGAGCAAGGACTAGCAGATGGCATAATGGCTATGTCACTGGACTCCCATGTAGTTGACTATGGTTGGAGTCCCGTACCCGGTGGCTTAAACTCATGCTGGGCATGTGTGCATGCATGCCCAAGATCCTGAGAGGAGAATAGAGGAGAAGAGATTGCAGCATGGCCATTCCCCCAGGGGTGATTTCTCACTTCCTATCTCTCTCTCTCTTTTTCTGGAGAGTGCACATGCCCTATAGCAAAACCCTCTCCAAAAATTAAAAAAAAAATTAAAATTAATTTTTTTTTAAAAAGGACTAGTTGAGGGCAACCCATGAACTAACTCTTGGATATCATATCCAATGTTCTTTTTTCACTGTGATCTTACTTGATCTCTATTAAGCATTCTTTACTTAAAATGCTATCTACCGATGACATGTTTTTTTCCTGGCTTTTCTTTCACTTCTCTGGTCTCAAGTCTTCTTATTTTCTCTGGGAGATTTAATTAGTTTCTATAGCTTTCAGTACCCTTGTCTTTGACATAAATCCACTCCAAATCCACGGTAACTCAACAACTGCATATAAGATTGCTTCCTGGACGTCTGTGACCATAGAAACGTAGAAATCTGGGGCAAGAATTAGTCACCGTATTCCCCACTCTTTACTTGTTCACTTCAGACCAAAGCAGATATCTAAGCAACACACTGAATTCTACTCTTTCCTTTAGTCTTGAATTGAGTCATATAAATTTATTTATTTATTTATTTATTATTTTTGGAGAGGTTTTTGCTATAGGGAGCGTGCGCTCACCAGACAGACAGACAGAGACAGAAAGCAAGAAATCACCCCCCGGGGGGATGGCCACACCGCAATCCCTTTTCCTCCGTTTTCCTCTAGGGATCTTGGGCACACACACACGCGCCCGGCATGAGTTTTAAGCCACCAGGTCCGGGACTTGAACTATGGTCGACTACATGGGAGTCCAGTGACATAGCCATTACACTAACTGCTGGTCCCACGTCATATACATTTAACTCCTAAATTTCCCTCTGACCTGTACCTTCCTCTACATTTTTACCATTTTAATGAATAAAATAGTAAACATTAAAATTATGGTTTAAAAACATAAAAATTGTTATTTTAATTTCTTCTCAGTATATTTCTATACTATAATATAGTTAATTCTATGTTTAATTATTTGAGCAATGTTTTTCTTTACAGTGCTTCTATTTTTTTCTAATGAAAGAAGGTGCTGCATGCACATAAGAGGCGAGAGAGAAAGAGAAAACTCTCCAACAGGGCCTGGTTATACTGCAACCCAACCTTTCTCTTCCAATTTTCCACCCAATCCATATCTTGGGCATGAGCACATGTGTCCATTGTGTTTCTCCAGCCACTAAGGCCAAGACTCAAACCCTTGTCAGCAAGGGGGGGTCAGCTTCCTATGTGCAACATTTGACTGCTGTGCTTCAGGGATAGCCCTAATTTAAGTTTTGAGAAAGAAAAACAGTATATATTTGTAGTGGTCAACAAGTTTTTTGTTTTTTGGGTTTTTTAAATTTGCTTTTTAATGCCAGAGAATGAATGTACATGTCTAGGTGAGGGAAGAAAGACAGACTGAGAGAAAGAGAGAGAAAGCACCTCCCTTCAACAGAGCGGTGATGCTGCAATTCTTTTTCCTCATTTCTCCATCCCAGCAGGATCTGGGTACACATACCTGCATGCTCAGTATGCTGCCACCAGGGATCTGGCTCCTTCTGTACAGCACTAATTCCTGCACTACAGGGCTGGCCGCTCAACATGATGTCTTTACATAGGGAAATGGTTAAATCAAGGTAATCAACATATGCACTACCTAACATAATTATTTTTTGTTGTTGTTGTGAGGACATTACTTTCCTAGCAATTTTCTACTTTCCTAGCAATTTTCAAGAATATAAATACATTGCTATAGTCCCCAAAAGGTACAATATTTCTGTTGAACTAATTCCTCTTACCTAACTAAAATTGTGTATTCTTTGACCAACAACTTCTCATCCCCTCCTTAAGACTCCAGTAACCACTACTCTACTCTCCGTTTCTGAGTATGACCACACATCACTGGGGGATGTTTTCTCTCTTTCTCTGTTTCTGATGAGAGCATACATCCTCTGGCAATTTTGAATCAATGAATAAACAACTAAAACAACTATTTGTGTCTTCTTTAATTAATTTCATCAATGTTTTATAGTTTTCAGCAGGTCTTTCACCTCCTAAACAATGCTTTAATGAGCATGTCTATGCTTGTATCTTTATATGACTTATATAATATATTTTTTTGAGAGGCTTTTGCTACAGGGCGCATGCACTCGCCAGAAAGACAGAGAGACAGAGAGACAGAAAGTGAGAAATCACCCCCCGGGGGGATGGCCACGCCGCAATCCCTTCTACTCCATTCTCCTTGGGATCTTGGGCATGCACGCACACGCGCCCGGTGTGAGTTCAAGCCACCAGGTCCGGGACTTGAACCACTGTTGACTACAAGGGAGTCCAGTGACATAGCCATTATGCTAACTGCTGGTCCCTATATAATAATCTTTTTAAAAATGTCCTTGAATTCTATTTTGGTAAAATATCTTTTCATTTAAATATTTCTAGCATGTTAGGTTTAAAGAAAAATTAAGCTGTAAATACACAGTATTTGCAGATACTAAATCCTCATCTACCCCCCCACACACACACATGCTATAACCCCTACTAAACATTTTGCATTATGTGGTACGTTTTTTACAACAAATAAATCAATATGAGTATTTTATATTAATTAAGGTCCATAGTTTACTTTTGTGCTTATTCTTTGTGTTTTACAGTTCTATGGGTATTGAAAAGTACATAATGCTATGTATTCCCCATTACATTATCACATAATTTGCAAACAAAGACGGTTATATTTCTTCCTTCCCAATCTATATATTTTTATTTCTTTATCTGGTCCATGCTGAATAGGAGTGGTTGAAAGGGGACATCCCTTCCTTGTTCCTGATCTTGGTATAAAAACATAGTTTCTCGCCATTAAATATGATGTTAGCAGCAGTTGTTTTGTTTTGATTTTTAAGATTTTTTTTATCAAGCTGAGAAAATTATCCACTATTCTACTGTGCTCAGTTTTTATCATGGGTGGGTGTTTGTTTGTATTTATTGATATGACCATGTAGCTTTTCTTCTGTAGTCTGTTGATGTGATGGATAACATTAACTGATTTTAGAAGTTGAACCCGCCTTTCAGACCTAGAATAAATCCCACTTGATTGTGGTATATAATTGTTTTTATACATTGTTGGATTCAATATGCTAACATATATTCTTTTAACTGCCACAGCAAACATGTGCTTAAACACACAAGAGAGAAAAAGAGAGAAAGCATTCTCCAATGAGATATAGTCACACGGCAAACCTTTTCCCTTCATTTCTCCATCCCATCAGGATTTTGGGCACAGGTCACATATTCTTGGTAAGTTTTCCAAACCATGGACATCAGGATTCAAACAAAGCTGGCCATGTGGGATTTGGCTCCCTGTGCACAACACACTGTACTATGAGTTCAGTCCAGTGTGCTAATATTTCATGAGAATTTTTGCATCTCTGTTCATAGCAATATAAATTATAGTTTTCCATTCTTGTAATGTCTGGTTTTGTTATTAGGGTAATGCTGGCCTCATACAATAAATTGGGAAATATTCTCT